TGGATCTATTCTGGGATCTCTATTCTGTCCCTTTGATCTATTTGTCTATTCTTTTTTTAAATTTTTATTTTTATTAGTATGTTTGCTGTACATATGATTACATTCATCATGAAGAGTCAGTACATGTACATAGCACATCTTAATTCTTTTTATGTTCCTTTCCCCTCCCTTACCTCCTCATTCCCTCCAACTCTTGGTCCTCTTCTCATTTGTGAAAGATCTATCTCCCTGTTTCTTATTGTCTATCTCTTGTTTAGCTATTTATTTACATTTTGGGTTTCTTATATAAGAGAAACCATGCAATATTTAAGCTTGTGTGTCTGATTTATTTTGCTAACATTATGGTCTCATGGTATGTTCATTTTCCTACAAATGGCTCAAATGTATCCTTCTTTATTGCAGAGTAATACAGTACTCCATTGTGTGAAAATATCACATTTTCTTTATCCATTTATCTGTTGATGGATATGTAGGCTTCTTCTAAGATTTAGCTATTATGAGTTGTGCTGCTATAGGGGTATGCATGTATCACTGTAATATGTTGTTTTTAACTCTATTACTTGCCTATTTTTTTCTTATTATTGTTTTTGTTGTTTGAGACAGGATCTTGCTCTGTAAGTCAGGCTAGCCTTGGACTCACTATATAGCCCAGGCTGACCTCAGACTCACAGCAGTCTTCCTGCCTCAGCCTCCTGAATGCTGGGGTTACAGGGATGCACCATATGCCTGACACTTTTACCTATACTACATTGTCTCCATTACCATATCTTTAGAGTAATTCATGAAGTCAGGTAATGTCAGTCCACCAATTTTATTGTCTTTCAGTATTGAGTTGGCTATTCTGGGTCTTTTTGCCTTTCCACATACAGAAGATTGAAACTAGTCCTATATTTCTCATCTTGTACTAAACTAAAATCAAAGTGTATTAAAGGTCTAAATATTAAAACAGAAACACGTAACCTACTGGAAGATAAAATAGGTAAAACTCTTGAAGCTATAGACCAAAACTTTCTGAACTGATCCCCAATAGTACCAAGAATCAATAAATGGGATCACATCAAATTACAGCTAAGGAAACAACCAACAGAGTGAAGAGAAGACCTGCAGAATGAGAAGAAGTTTTGGCCAGCCATACCTTGGACCAAGGACTAAAATCTGGAACTAATCTAAAATACACTCTCCAAATAAAAGAACCAGTCAAAAAATAGGCAACTGAAATGAAAAGACACTTTTCAGAAGTACAAATGGCCAATCAGTACATACGAAAGTTCAACATCACTGGTCATTAGAGAAGTGCAAATTAAAACAACACTGAGATTCCATCTCACTCCAGAAAAAATGGCTGTTATCAAGAAATCAACCAATAACAAATGCTGGTGAGGCTATGGGGGCAAAGGAACCCTTTTCTACTGTTGGTGGGAATATAAATTGGTACAACTAATACAGAAATCAGCATGGAGATTCCTCCAGAAACTAAAACTAGAGGTTCCATTTGACCCAGCTATTCCTCTTCTTGGTATCTTCCCAAAAGAGTTAAAAGCATCATACCACAGCAATATGTGCACACCCATGTTCATAGCAGCAAAATCTTGTAATAGCAAAATCTTTTGAGTTCAAATGCTCATCAATGGATGAGTGGATTAAAAAAGTTTTTATATACAATGGAATACTAAACTGCCATAAAGAAGGATAAACGAGACATTTTTAGGTAAATGGATGCACATTGAAAACATAATTTTAAGTGAAATAAATCAGGTACATATGTTTAAATATCAAATTGTTTCTCATGTGTGAGAAACCCAAAGGGTAAGGACTGAAATGGATGATGGATATTGGGAATTGGGAAGAAAATGTTCAAATGGGAAGGGGAACAAGGGAGAGAGGAGAAGGAAGGGAAGTAAGGGAAAAGGGAAAAAAAGAAAAAAATGGAAACAAAGCTTTTGTAAATGGAGGGGGGGAAAGGGTTGAAGGGAGGGGAGGGGAATAGGGAAAAAAGAATCAAGATATACCATTTACAGGTACAAATACTCTACAATGAATGTGTCATTATGTATATCAAAAGTGTAGCAATACACTTAATTTTTTTAAATACATGAAAAATGTTCAGCATCACTGACCTTTAGAGAAATGCAAATTAAAACAACATTGAGATTCCACCTTACTCCAGAAAGAATGGCCATCAAGAAATCAACCAATAATAAATACTGGCAAGTATACAGGGAAAACAGAACACTTCTATATAGTCCATAGGAATATAAATTAGTACAACCACTATGGAAATCAGTATGAAGATTCCTCAAAAACTAAAAATAAGCCAGGCATGGTGGCACATTCCTGTAGTCCTAGCACTCAGGAGGTTGAGGCAAGAGGACCACTGTGAGTTTGGGGCCAGCCTGAATTTCATAACAGACCCTATCTCAAACAAAACAAAATAAAACAAAACAAAAAACATTCCATTTCACCCAGCTATTCCCTTTCTGGGTATCTTCACCAAAAAGTTAAAGATATCATATTACAGAGATACATGTATACCCATGTTTATAGCAACATAACTCATAATAGCTAATTGGAAGCAGCCTATATGCCCATCAACAGATGAATGGATAAAGAAAAGGTGGTATTTACACACAGTGGAGTACTACTCTGCCATAAAAAGGGTAAACTTTAGTCATTTGTAGGAAAATAGATGTATTTTGAGACCAAAATATTAAGGGAAATAAATCAGACACACAAGTTTAAAACGCATGGTTTCCCTTGTATGAGAAATCCAAAATACAAAGGGCAAAATAAAAGATAAATAATAAGAAACACGGAGATAGATCTTTTGTAAATGGGAAGGGGACCAGGAGATGAAGCGGGGGAGAGGAAAGGAATAATAAAAGAATTGAGATGTGTTATGTACATATACCCAATCTCCACAATGAATGCTGACCATTATGTACTGCAAATATGCACTAAAATTAAAAACAGTATTAACTCACTTCTCCTTTTATTTTCACTCACTCCTTTTTTTTTTTTTTTTTTGGTACCGGGGATTGAAGTTGGGTCCTTGCGCTTGCGCGGCAGGCGGCAAAACCACTGAGCTAAATCCCCGGTCCTATCTTTATTTTATTCACCTGTAACTCATTGCTTAATTCTTCTGTTTCCAGTCTTTTAAATTGAGACTTGGCTTTAACCTGTGGATTTTCTCTGGCTACTTGTTTATCTGTATCCCATGGATTCTGACATGTGGTGTTTTTTCTATTGATGTTTTCTAGAAAATCTATAGCTCCATTGTTCCTTTTTGATCCCCTATTTACATGACTTTATTTTTTAATTTTAATTTTTATTAGTACATGTTTGCAGTATTCCTGCTCACATGACTTTATGAGAATATTTCTGAGCTCTTGTGTGTTCAAAAACAGGACAGAGGCACCAGATGTGGTGGTGCATACTTGTAAGCCCAGCGACTCAGGAGGCTGAGGCTAGAAGATTGCAAGTTGGAGGCCAGCCCGGGCAATTTAATGAAACCCTGTCTAAAATAAGTTTTATGGTTTTTTTTTTTGAAGGGCTGGGAATGTAGCTCAGTGGTAGAGCACTTGCCCAGCATGCACAAGGCCTGCCTTACTGTTGGGATGGGTTCAATCTCACTTAACACACACACACACACACACACACACACACACACACACACTATTTTGGAGCCTGTATACTTGATCTTTTTGCCTGTGTACCTCAAAGCTTATTTATCATTTAATGCCAGTAACATTACTAGACTATATCTCATAGTGCAAACATGGTATGTTTTTTTCAAAAGTAGATTAAGTCTTTTTTTTTCTTTTTTCTTTTGTGGTGCTGGAGATCACACATGCTAGGCAAGCAGTCTACCACTGAACTGCACCACCAGCTCTGAAGTTCTTTTCTTATTTCAGAAATATTTTCCAGAATTATCTTTAGATATCTATTGCATTTCATTGTTCCCTTCAGGAATTCTAAATATAAGAAAAGAGGAATTTCTCCTGTAAGATGTATCTGTTGTTTGCAATAAGGTAGGAATCACAGAGTAGTTCTGCAGGGAAGCTCAGTTTAGCTTAAGCAAGGAGGGAACCTGTGGGCTGTGAGGTTTGTGAGACTCACCTGTGTGACTGAAGTCTCTGCCTTCTGAGTTGTCCCAAATCCTCCACCCCATGGAGTTGGATCCCTTGTATTCAACTGCTAATTCTTGAGCCCCCATCCTACCTGCTGTGGGACACCCAGCACATCAGCATCTCCAGGGTGTCTCATGGGCCATTTGTATCTCAGAGGCATCATTTGCTCATTTACTCCTGAGACATTGTCAGTCTTACCTGGGTATCAGAACAAGTGGCTCTTCTCTCTGCCTTGCTTCTGCCTAAACATGGAGTAAGTACATGCTCTTCCCCTTGATGTCCTCAGCATCAGGTTGTACTGTAGTAGACTGTTAAAATGTTTAGAGGGACAGAGGAGAGTCATCTTGTGGGATGACATAGCAAAAATTTAAGATTGATTATTATACATTCCCTGCCTTAGGCTATTGTCTATCACTATGATGAAGTAAAGGAGGCTGGGTAGTTTTATAAAGAAAAAAAGGTTTATTGGGCTCATAGTTCTAGAAATACAAGGGCATGGTGCTGGCATCAGCTGGCTGTGGTGAAAGCCTCATGGTGAATGAAACCACAGTGGCGGGAGCTTCAGCGAGAGGAAAAGATCATATGGCAGACAGGAAATCAAAGAGCATGGAGGGGCCAGGAATGGCTGCCTAGGAGCCCACCTTTGACAGGTCCACACCTCAGCATTGCCATGTGGAGGACCAAGTATCCGACACACAAACTTGTGGGGGAAAAGCTCAAACCATATCCAAACTACAGCACATTGTTCCCTTGAGTGTCTTGACCACTTGTGTGTGGGGCCAGAGGGTTTCTCATTCCTGGTTCCCACCCGAGAGTCCTTTCTTTTCAATTTTTTAAATTAAAAAAATGTTTTAAAAAATTTTGTCATTGTAGGACACTGGGATATAGCAGTGTGAGGAGGAAAAGGAGGAGGGAAGTGGGTCTCCGGGACCCTGAAAGGATCTGAGGCAAAAATTGAAGTCTACAGGATGAGTGAAGAGAGAGACTTTAATGAAGAAGAGGGAGGTACCAAGCAGCACTCTCTCCCAGAGCCCAGACTCTTTGTGAAGGAACAGAGGGCTGAACCTCAGATGCATAGTGACTACTGATGACCTCAGAGGCCTCCACAGAGAAATGCACCAATGGAATGGAGGAGTGGACAAATTGGACTACAGCTGCAGGTGAGTTATCCAGGTTCAGACCTCACCCAGAGAGGCTGATTGGTTGGTAGTCATTTTGAGAGGGGCCTACTGAACTCAGAACTCAGAAAAGCTGCAGGCAAACTCCATCTAGTGGCTTCTGGTGCCTCTGCGGGTGCTGAGTTCAAACTGGCAGGAGAAACATAGACTGTTGTAGGCTCAAGGAATCCGGTTCCAGCCTCATAGCCAGAAACCGGCCTGAACTTCAGAGGAACTAAAGGGGCAGGCTGGCTGAGATTATCCACTACCCCACTGTGAAGCTGCAGCTAGCTTGTTGGCATTAATCAGATTGGCTCTGGACTCTGTTTGCCCACATTGCCTAACAGTGACAGCAGAGGCGCACCTTGAATTGGATGTGTTTGGGTTTTTAAAACCTTTTTTCTTTCTCCTTTTCTTTTTTTTCCTTTTATCTTGCTTTTTTCCCTCCTTGTTAGTTCTTGTTTTGTTTAGTTTTTTCTTGATTGTTTGAACAGTTTCTAGTTTTTTATTGTTGATATGTTCTGTTCTTTTTTTTTTTCCTTTTCTCTTTCCCACCTGTATACTTCACCAGTTTCCTAAAGTTTATCCTCCAGTCTTGCTTCTGATTTCTTCCCCTCCTTCTATTTCTGTTTTTTAACCCCTAACCCTTTTAAAGTCTTCTCTCATAAGGGTAAAAATACCATATTAAGGGCTACAATTTGTCATTTTCTAGGTTGTATTGATCCCATTGTTATTGTTGATTGTACTACTTTAGCCAAAGTCACATAATTGTACTAATCAGTTGTTCCTCCTGGTATACCAAGACTGAGATTGCCTAAGGGTCTTGAAAAAAAACCTATAGGTCAGTGCCAAAGAACTGGCAGCTGGGCCAAGCAGGCCAAGTAGGATCCTGCAACAGACTCAAAACCCAAAAACTAGCTATACCTGGAAGATGCTTCTGAGAAGTAGTCATTTCCTAAGGATTCTGAATACTAGCAACAAAGCTACTTACCATAAGCAATTTACAAACATCAACTCAGGAATCAAACTTTTAAAAAACAGAAAATGAGAAGACACTTAAACAAGATGCAACCCCCACAGACTTTCAGCTCACCAAAGGCAAACCCCAGGGGCAGTGAAGTGGAACGATCAGAAAGCCACCCACCTGGATTCTCTGAAGTGGTAACAGCAGAAGTAACAAATGTTGAAGGAGTAGAGCAGATGAATGAGGCTCTAGAAAAAAATTAAAGCAGAAATAATTTCCCAGATAACTACAGAGATGGTGACCAGAGTGAAAGATAGAGATGAAAAAGTAGAGGAGCTCAGGAATATGATGGAAACCATGAGCACCCAGCATAGGAAAGAAATGGAATCCATGTAACAGATTTGAACAGATATCCAGGAGATTAAAAACTCCACTGAGGGTCGGGGATTTAGCTCAGTGGTTCCGGCGCCTGCCTCCCAAGCGCAAGGACCCAAGTTCGATCCCCGGTACCAAACAAAAACAAAAACAAAACAAAATTCCATTGAAAGTATACATAGCAGAATGAGCCAATCTGAGGACAGAATGTCAGATATAGAAGACAGGACTGCGGTTAGTGATCATGAAAAGAGAGATTTCTTAAAAATAGCAAGGGACCATGAGAAATCAATTCAGCAGCTGCTAGATGATGCAAAGAAGAATAGTATAATACTGATTGGAGTCAGTGAAAAAGCTGGAGATAGTGCAAATGACATTAAAAAACCTGTTCTCAGAAGTAATGAAAGAAAACTTCTCAAACAGGAAAAAAGAATTTGACATACAGATAAGTGAGGCATATAGGATTCCAATTAGCCATGATAAAAAAAAAATCTTTCCCAAGGCATGTAATAGTCAAGATTCCAGAAATTCAACACAAGGACAGAATATTAAAAGCTGTTAGAGAAAAGAAACAAAACACCTATAAAAGAAAGCCCATCAGAATCATAGCAGACTTCTTAACACAAACTCTCAAGTCAAGGAGAGCTTGGTGTGAAGTATTTCAAGCCCTAAAAGAAAACAACCTCCAAACCAGATTGATGTACCCTGCAAAACTATCCTTCAAAATTGATGCATTAATAAGATACTTCCATGACAATGAACACCTGAAGAAATTCATGACCACCAAACCAGCACTCCAAAGTGTTCTGAAGGATATTCTAGAAAGAGACAATAAGGATTATAACTCCATGAACCCCAATAGAATGAATCTACCAGGCAAGACAAGAAATTAAACAGAAAAGCAAAGAAGGAAGCCAACAGCAGGAAAATAACATGACAGATAAGGTAATACATATCAGTAATAGCCATCAATGTTAATGTCTCAATTCACCAATCAAAAGAAATAGACTGGCAGAATGGGTCAAGAAGGAAGATCCAACAATATACTGCATACAAGAAACACATTTAATTGAAAATCAAATTCATAGACTGAAAGTCAAGGGATGGAAAACAGTATTCCATGAGATAGGGACCCGGAAAAAAAGCAGGGGTAGCGATTCTATTTGCAGACAAAGTGGATTTCAAGCCAAGACTGATTAAGACTGACAAAGAAGTTCACTACATCCTGGTAAAGGGAACAATCCAAGAGGAAGATATAACAATCATAAATATATATGTACCAAATAGCAGCACACTCAACTATACAAAACAAATTTTAACAGACATGAAAAAATCATATAAGCACTAATACAGTTGTAATGGGGGACCTCAATACCCCACTGTCACATATAGACAGATCAGTTAGACAAAAAAAATCAACAATGAAATATTAGAATTGAACCAAATTCTTGAACAAATGGGCTTAGTAGATGTATACAGCGTGTTCCACCGCACAACATTCTTCTTAGCTGTACATGGGACTTTCTCCAAAATAGACCATATACTAGCTCATACAATATGCTTAGTAAATGCAAAGGAACTGAAAATATCCCATGAATATTATCAGAACATAGTGCAATGAAATTGGAAATCAACAGCAAAAGAAACCACAAGAACTTCATAAATGCATGGAAATTAAATCACACCCTCCTAAATGACCAATGGGTCACAGATGAAATTAAAGAAGAAATCAGACAATTTCTACACTTAAGTAATAATGACAATACAACCTACCAGAAATTGTGAGACATAATGAAAGCAGTCCTATGAGGGAAATTTATAGTGGTGAATTCCCCTATCAGGAAAAGGGAGCGGGCTTAAAAAAAACAACCTAATAATGAACCTCATGCTTCTAGAAAAAGAAGAGTTAGTCAAGTACAAAGCTTGTATGATGGAGGAGATAATAAAAATCAGAGCAAAAATTAATGCAATGGAGACTAAGAAAACAATACAAAGAATTGATGAATCCAAGAGTTGGTTCTTTGAAAGATTAAATAAAATTGATAACCCCTTAGCTAACCTCAAAAAAGGAAAGAAAAGACTCAAATACATGCAATTAGGAATGAAGAGAGTGAAATAACAACAGATCCTGAGAAATCCAGAAGATCATCAATACCTACTTCCAGAACCTGTATGAATAAAATGGAAAATACAGAAGAAATGGACAGATTCCTAGATACATATGAATTACCAAAACTGAATCAAGAAGATATAGAAATACTAAATAAGCCAGTTATCAGTCAATGAAATTGAGTATGTAATTTAAAAATTACAACAAAGAAAAGCCCAGGCCCTGATGGATTCACTGCTGAATTCTACAAGAAATTCAGAGAAGACTACTCCTCAAACTCTTAATGAAATTGAAACAGAGGCAATACTCCCAAATTCATTCCTGGAAGCAAGTATTACCCTGATTTGAAAACCAGAGAAGGATCCAACCAAAAAGGAGAATTACAGGCCAATCTTCCTAATGACCATAGATGCAAAAATCCTCAATAAGATACTGGCAAACAGAATGCCAGTATCATCAAGAAGGTTATACACCATGAACAAGTTGGTTTCATCCCAGGGATGGTTCAACACACACAAATAAATAAATGTAATACACTATATTAACAGAGCCAAGGACAAAAACTATATGATCCTCTCAATAGATGCAGAAAAAAGCATTTGACAAGGTCCAACACCCATTCATAATAAAAAACCCTCCAGAAAATTGGTATAGATAGTCTTTATCTCAATCTGATAAAAGCCATCTATGACAAACCAACAGCCAACAACATATTAAATGGGCAAAACCTGAAAGCTTTCACTATAAAACCAGGAACAAGACAAGGATATCACTGTCACCACTCTTGTTCAATATAGTTCTGGAAACACTAACCAGAGCAATTAGACAAGAGAACGGAATAAGGATAGGAAAGGAAGAAGTTAAATTGTCATTATCTGCAGATGACATGATACTCTACATAGAAGACCCGAAAAACTCTACCAAAAGACTTTTAGATTTGATAACCAAATTCAGTGGTATAGTTGGATACAAAGTCAATAATCAAAAGTCAGTAGCCTTCCTGTACAGGAATAACAAATTCACAGAGAAGGACATTAGAGAAACAATCCTTTTCACAATATCATCTTAAAAAATGAAGTACCAAAAAAAAAAAAAAAGAAGTACCTAGGAATCAGTCTAACAAAGGAAGTAAAAGACCTCTACATTGCAAACTACAGTATTCTGACAAAGGAGATTGAAGAGGATGTCAGAAAATGGAAAGATATCCCTTGTTCTTGGATAGGAAGAACTGATATAGTGAAAATGGCCATACTTCCAAAATTGTTATACAGATTCAGTGCAATCCCAATCAAAATCCCAACAGCATATCTCACAGAATTAGAAAAAACAATCCTAAAATTCATTTGGAATCAGAAGAGACCTAGAACAGCAAAGGAAATTCTGGGCAACAAAGCCAAAGCTGGGGGCATCATAATCCCTGACTTTATACTACAAAGTGATTAAAATAAAACAGCATAGTACTGGTAAAAGAACAGACCTGAGGATCAATGGAACAGACTAGAGGATGCAGAAACAACTCCAGACATACTCAACCATCTTATCTTTGACAAAGGAGCCAAACACTTTCACTGGAAGAAAGATAGCCTCTTTAATAAATGGTGCTAGAAAAACTGGCTTTCCACATGCCAAAGATTAAAACTAGACCCCTATCTTTCACCATGCACTAACCTAAAATTGAAATGGATCAAGATCTAAATATTAAAACAGTCACTAAACCTGCTGGAAGAGAGAATAGGTAGAATGCTTGAGGACATAGCAGTAGGCTAAGACTTCATGAACAAAACCCAGAACACACAGGAAATACTACAAAGAATCAACAACTGGGACCTCATCTTATTAAAGAGCTTTTGCACAGCAAGAGAAACCACCAACAGAGTGAAAAGACAACCCACAGAGTGGGAAAAATTTTTACCAGCTCTTCTGATAAAGGACTATTCTCTAGAATATATAAAGAACTCAAAAGATCAGATCCCCCAAATTTAAAGACCCAATGAAAAAATGGGCATCTGAAATAAAAAGACACTTCTCAGATGAAGAATTAAAAATGGCAAATAAATATAAGAAAAAGTGTTCAACATCACCGATTATTTGTGAAATGCAAATTAAAACAATACTGAGATTCTACCTCACTCCAGAAAGAGTGGCTGCTCTCAAGAAATCAACCAATAACAAATGCTAGAGGGGCTGTGGGGAAAAAGGAACCTTTCCCCACCATTGGTAGGAGTGTATACTGGTGCAATCACTGTGGAAATCAGTGTGGAGATTTTTCAAAGAATGAAAACATTCCATTTGACCCAGCTATACCTCTTCTTGGTATCTTTCTGAAAGAATTAAAAGCATCATACCACAGCGATATATGCCCACCCATGTTTATAGCAGCACAGTTTGTAATAGCTAAATCTTGGAAACACCCCAAATGCCCATCAACTGATGCGTGGACAAAGAAGATGTGGTTTTTTTTTTTAATACAGTGGAGTACTACTCTGCCATAAAGAAGGATGAGCTTCAGACATTTATAGCTAAATGGATCGACCTTGAGACCATACTCTTAAGTGAAATAAATCGGACACACATGTTTAAATACCACATTGTTTCTCTGGTGTGAGAAACCAAAAGTGGAAATAAGGACTGAAATGTATAATAGATGTTGGAAGATGGGAAGAAAACGTTCAAATGGGAAGGGGAACAAGGGAGGGAGAAGGGAGAAAGGAAAGAAGGGATGAGAAAAAAAATGAAAATAGAAGGAAAAATGGAAACAAAGCTTTTGTCCATAGGGAGGGGAAGGGGCTTGAAGAGGAAAAGGGACAAAATAAAATTTAATTTTAAAAATTTTCATTGTAAAATATATATAATATAAATTGACTATTTTTAGTGTATGATTTAGTAGCACCCAGTACATTCATAATGTTGTATCTATTTCCATTTATCATTCAAAACCAAAACTCCAGTCCCATCAGGCAGTGACTACCCCCACTTCCTCCTCTGCTGTCTGATCTCCCACCCCCTCACTCAATTCATTCCTGCTCCTTCCTCATTTCCATTCAGACTGGACAGTTTGGGTTCTCCCCCTACCAATCCATCAAGGTCTAGGGCCACTTTTTTTTTTTTTTTTGAGACACAGCCTCACTATGTAACCCAGCTGGCCTCAAACTCACAGCGATCCTCTTGCCTCCAGCTGGGGTCACCTTAATATCATAGTCAGGACCACTAAACAAGAGAAAGAAAAAGATTGTTCTGGGGCCCCACCTTTAGGAGATCAAAAGACTTTCAACTCTGCTTTGAAATTACAAATTTTCATCTGGGTGTGGTAGCTCAGACCTGTAATTCCAGCACTTGGGAGGCTGAGGCAGGAGGATTGGTGTGAGTTTGAGGCCAGCCTGGGCTACACAGTGAGTTCAAGTTCAGTCTGAACTACATAGTGAGACTGTCTCAGAAAAAAGAAAGAAAGAAAGAAAGAAATTACACATTCTCATGGAATGCAATTATATTCCTAGGCAGCTGTGCTTCTCTGCTGATGTCTGTTCACTAAAGGAAACCACAGAAAGATGCGTCCTTCCGGGGCTGGGAACTTGGCTCAGTGGTAGATCACTTAGATCATTTGTCTAGTAGGGCAATATCCTGCGTTCAATCCCCAGCCCTACAGAAATGAAAAAAACAAAGAGGAATTCTTCCAAAGATGAATTCTGTATTCTCCTTCAGAGGCAGATATAGCTGTACCCACTTTTCAACAGCTTCCTTCCCTTGTTACACATGCTTATTTGTATGTTATTCAGGTTGAATTTCTTTTTCCATTAGGTTATGACCTCCAGGAGGGCTTATATTGTGTCATTTTGTTTTCTACAGTATACCCAACAGCTGGCACATACCAGACCCCCTATGTATTGAATGAATGAACAAAGGAATGAATGAATGAGGTGATTTATAGACCTCTGGGACCAGGAACTTTGCAAGCTCACCATGTAACAACTTTTCCTTTCTCCTGGGTTTTAGATAGAAACAACAGGCTGCCTCTTATCTCTCAAGAATGATACACCCAGGCCTGCAAGTCCTGTTCCCAGAAGGTGTCCTCAAGTTACAGAAGCCAGGCCACCCTGCAGCGTCAAAGGCCATCCTGCAGCGTCAGCGTTTCCTGCTGCAAGGGTGTGAGGGAGTGGCATGTCTAAGCATTTTGCTTTCTGCACCCTTTATGAACAGGAAGGTCTTCCTCTCTGTTCTGGATGAGGTCAGAGGTATTATTAGGTATTGTCTGGAAGGAAGGCAGGTGAAAAAGTGGCCAGAACTCCACCTCTCGCAGCAACAGTAACCCGATTTAGTGCAGCGGAGGTCAGAGCAATACTTTCTGTGTCCACCCCAATCATAAGTTGGCCAAGCCAGCTGGAGGGTCCACAAGTGTTCACAGCAGCAAAGTCTCTACCTTAAACTGGAGAGGGGAGCAAAGCTCTTGATATCTGGGCTGTTTGGGACTCACACTTGAGGGGACATATAAGGACATTAAAACCCTCTGTCGGGTGGTCTGGCTCATGTGGTCCTGGAATGTCCATGTGATGGGAACAAGGAAGTCCGGGCCAAGAGAGCAATCTTCTCAGATTCAGGGAGGCCCTAAGGTAGTTGACTGACCACAAAAGGAATGAGCAAATATCAATAATTTCTGATGTCCATGAATGATGAGTTACTTAATATAACAAAAAGAAAGATCCCAACCAGGATAAATCCCAAAAATATAAAATATCTAGGATCAGGCATAATTAAAAGTCCATAGGGTTCCTGAAAAAAGACCTACAAACTATTCTGAGTTGCTAAAACTAGAGAATGAAAGGATGATGGGGCATAGAATATGTACACAACAGGCTCAACATACCTTTTTGTGATTACTGATTAATTAAAGATGAGGAAGTAGTAAATCTACAGGTGTGCCTCCACCCACAGCTATAATGTGTTCTCATCTGCACTCACTTCCTCAAGGGTCTAGCCCTGTCTGACTACCTATAATATCTCTAATTTAGCTGTCTATAATAATCCTCCTGCCTCAGCCTCTTGATTGTATGTGCCACCAGGCTCGGCTTTCTGCCTAAGATTAAAGGAGACTAAAGATTTAAGGTAATGGCTGGGGATGTAGCTCAGTAGCACCACACCCGGTTCTGAGTTCAATCCCTGGAAGCGGGGGAAAGGGGGATAAAAACAAAAACTGGATGTAAGATTCAAGGTAGTGTGTGACTGGGACAGTGATGGGACCTGTACGCCACAGATCTTCAAGGCATCCATGGGTAGAATTCAGGGGACACAATAAACTTGGACGGGTTAAAAATTTGCATTTTCTTTTCCACTAATCACTAACTGAAATTGCCATTTCCATCCTTCCTTCCTTGCTTTCTCCTCTTCCTTCTTCGTTTTCAAAATGTTTGAAGCTTGATGACGGACAATTGGCACATGATGAGCTACTGAAAGGGTAAATAGAAGGGTTGTTACTCCCTCACCCCAGGATGTCACCTTGAAAACAGCATAAGGCCAGGCTGTTTCATCAGGAATTACAGGAACCTCATCTCTGGACTTTCCACTGCTGGGTCACAGCCTTCCATCCCTAGAACTCTACTCATGATCGGTTAGGGTTAACTCTGGAGTCTTGTGAAGAGGATGGAGACTATCACAAGATCATTTGTCTCCAAGGAGACAAGAAAAGTTTCATTTGTCTGTCTTCAACTTTACTGAATAAAATATGTGAAATCCTTCCTAGACTTTATAGTCAATCCCGTGTGATGCACATGCATGCTTGTAATCAGGTTGCATTGTCAAGAATATATCTCCTATCTCCTTTATATTGGAGCAGAGGGGTCTTTTTGTTGGAAGAGTCTTTTTGTCTTTTTTCCCCTATTGGGGGTTGAATCCAGAGCCTCATACTTGCTGTAAGCTTGCTGTCTCTGAGCTACTCAACCCCACCCCAGCTTTTTTGAGACAGTCTCACTAAGTTTCCCAGGCTAGCCTTGAACTTGTGATTCTCCTGCTTCAGCCTCCCAGAGTTCTGTAATTACAGTCTTGTGCCACCACACCTGTCCTATTGCTTCATTCCGTTTTTGAGCTATGCAGTTCAGGCTGGCCTTGAACTCACTATGTATCCCAGGCTGGTCTCAAACTCTCTGGTGATCTTCCTGCCTCAGACTCCTGAGTGCTGGGATTATAGACGTGTGCCACCACACCTAGCTTTTGCTTCATTCTTTTTTCGGGGGGGGGGTACTGGGGTTTGAACTAGGGACCTTGCACTTGTGAGGCAGGTACCGGAACCACTGAGCTAAATCCCTGGCCCCTTATTGCTTCATTCTTAATGTGAACAAGGTTCACCAAATATCTGAAGAAATTCCACAGTACACATAGAAACTAGATAGATAAGCAAACAGCATTTTAAAGAAAGGCTTCAGAAGAAAACTATGCAGGGAACAGAAGAGAATTTAAAGACCAAACAAAGGCGGTATAATTGACCTTGGTAGTAATGCACAAAGGTATTACATCCATAAAGCAAAGATAGCAACAACAGAGGACAAGAATAAGTTCTCAGAAAACAAATATATTATCCTTACATTAAAAATTAGCTAGAAGATTTGCAAAATAAAATTAAGGAACGTAGGAAATAGGATGACAAAGAAAGGTATGATACAGAAAATGGGGTTGCTAGGGCCGGGGATTTAGCTCAGTGGTTCCGCTGCCTGCCTCGCAAGCGCAAGGACCCAAATTCGATCCCTGGTATCAAAAAAAAAGAAAGAAAATGGGTTGTTTTGCCCAAAAAGGACAAAGGGTCTTGGGATTTCCCAGCTGGTCCTGGGAGTGGAGGCTGGTGAGAGCTGAGGCAGAAGTAGTAGATTGCTAGCTGGGTGTGGTGACACTGCCCGTCATCCTGGCACTCAGGGGGCTGAGGCAGGAGGACTGCCACAGGTTCAAGGCCAGCCTAGGCTACATGGAGAGACCCTGTCTCAAAAACAAACAAAAAGTGGTAGATTGTTGCAGTCTTTCACCCTACCTTTATGCACACCTGCCAATGTGGCTTTACAGTCCTCACAAAGAAGTGGGGTCTGTGTCCACCCCCTCAAATCTCACCCAATTTTTAACTTGTTTGGTCCATAGCCTATGGCGGAAGTCCTGTGTCACACTGAGCATTTTGCCCTCTTGGCAACCTACTGGGGCATCATGAGAAAGGCCTGGGCTGGCCTGCTGGAGGATGGGACCACCTGGAGCAGGGATGGACCTGTCCTAGTTGAACCCTTTCCAGACCAGTTTCCAACAGATTTGGCAATGGCCTGTGAAGGCCTCATGAGCCCAAACAAGACTAGGAGAGCTGCCTCTTGGAGCCCAGCCTGATGCTGACACACACAGCTGGAAAGGAATACATGGCTGCTGGGTGAGACTGTTACATTCTGGGGGAGCTGAAGAACCAACAAATACTCCTGGTTCCTCTATTGCCTCAGAGGTGGCTTTCCTCTACTCTGCAAAGGCAGGAAAGTGAAAAGCCACAGAAAGTGAAAAGTCCCCAGATCCTCAGCAGCTACAGTTACGAGTATGAAATAAGGACTGATAATTAGACGCCCCATGAGATATTCCAATGGAGAAGCCATCTTCCTGCTGTCATTTGTGACAAGGACACAGTACTGCAAGGGTCCAGAGCAGGTCTCAGCAGCCAGACACAGCACTCCTACACTGTTTCTCAGGTCAGGACTGCGTGGTGTGGGGTGTGGCAGTGGTGGCACCTCCTTGCTGACCAAGGTTCTGATGTCAGCTCTTCAACTCACTCCAGGGCAGAGCCCTGACTTGGGCTCCTCCAGCCCTTCTTTCAAATATGTAACCAACTCATTTGGCACAGTAACTTCCTTGCTGTGAAAACCTGACCCTGTTAGCTGTTGGTGAGGAAGTGGACTGGACTGGAATGTCCAGAACTGCCCAGACGCTGCAACTGGTGGGAGAATCCTGTGGTGTAACCACTTCAGAGAACTCTCTGGAAGCTCCTGATAAAGCTAAACACAGTTTTCCCATTGGCCAGCAATTTATTCCTAAGTATATACCCAAGAGAAAGGAAGACATAACTCCACAGAAAGACTTGAAGTGTTCTATTCCTATGAGCCCAAACCTGGAAATGCCCAAAAGTTCCATTAAAAGTAGAATGAGCCAGGGCCAGGAATGAGCTCAATCCCTGGTACCACCCCCCCCAAATAGAATGAGCTGGGCCTGGTGGCTCATGCCGGTAATCCCCAACACTCAGGAGGCTGAGGCAGGAGGATCATTGTGAGTTTGAGGCCAGGCTGGGCTACATAGTGAGTTCAGGACCAGCCTGAATTACATAGTCAGACCCTGTCTCAAAAAACTAAAAACTAACTAACTAAATAAAATGAATGAATAAGCAAAATTGTGGCATATTTATATATTGGAAAGAAATTTTTCTTTTTAGCTCTGGGGATTATTTCCCAAGCCCTTATCTTTTATTTATATTTTGAGACAGGGTCTTGCTAAATTGTTACATCACTCAAGATAGGCTCAAACTAACTTTATTTCTTTTCTCTCTTTCTCTTTTCCTCTTTCTTTCTTTGGAAGCTTTGACTCTGGGGGGCTGTGACTAGGGAGAACTCCTCTGCACTGTGACTTTTAGGAACTCTTGACAACTGACTTTGAAGACATATCCTGATGAAGGGTCCATTTCCTTACTGTCCCTGTAAATCCCTGGTGATCTTCTGTTGCCAAGGGGCCTATCAGTGGTTCTCAAGAAGGAAGGGCAAAGGGCCAAGGATTTAGCTCAGTGGTGCTGCCACCTGCCTCGAAGGCACAAGGTCCCAAGTTCGATCCCTGGTACCAGAAAAATAAAAAAAAGAAGGAAGGGCAAGGTGGCAGCCGCTGAGTGGCAGGCCACCAGCAACACAATGTCCCAAAGCCAGAAGAGTCCATGCTGGAGGACTCCTTCCAGATCCCAGTGTGGCCCAGATCTTAGCTTGAACCATCTGGCACAGCTGGACAAGAAAAGGATGAGCCCAGGAGAGGACTCAGAGTCTATGTACTATAGAAAAAGAAAACACTAGAAGAAGAGACATCAGAGTACCACCACTAGTGGTACTACCCAGGGTGGTAGCATTAACAGTACAGATATTGGTTTTCTTTCTTTCTTTTCTTTCTCTGTTTTTTTTTTTTTCCAAATTTTGGCTTTCTTCATCAAACATTTCTGGTTTTCACATTAGCTATATAAAAGCATATAAATATATACATATGCACATAGTGTATACAGTAAATAAATTGACAATAAAAATAATAGTTTAAGAATAACCATTTAAATGTAAAAAATTATTCAGTGTGTTATATACATGTAGCAACTCCCCATGATGAATGCAATCATTATGTACTACAAGTATGTACTAATGAAAATTTTTAAAAATTGTAAAACAATTATTTGAAATGCAGTCATAATAGCTATGATTTGTTTTTCAGTCAGGGACAATTCCCTGAAAGACTCAGCCATGAGAACATAACTCTTTTTGGAGCCTTCTAGCTCTATCTTTGGGTCTGACCTCTGCTCTCTGAGGGAGACGTGAGCTGGTGGTTGCTGAGTCATCACACATAGGTCACATCCCACCTTGGAGCACTGGCCCAGACACTTGGGCATGCCTGGGGTGAGTTTTAACTTGGAAGAGGAGCCCCCAGGCCTCATTAGACTCATCCTTCCACTAATAAATGCACAGTGATCAATGAATTGCACCCATGAAATAGGGCAGGATTCAATAAACAATAAAAGATAGAGTCAAAAGACTGAGAGTTGCTTGGTGGTAGAGTGCCTGTCTAGCATGAGTGAGTATGGGTTCTATCCCTAGTACTGGAAAAACAACCCCACAAAGATACTGTTTTAGAATTTTGAAATAATTTCATACTTATAACACAATTGCAAAAATAATACAAATGTGTCTTATATAACTGTGGTACAATAACTAAAACCAGAACACTAACACTGGTATCGTTAACTAATCTAAAAGCCTTATTTGAATTTCATCATTTGCACCCTGATGTTCTTTTTTCTTTCAGGATCTCACATTACATTCAATTGTCATAATACTTTGGTCTCCTTGATTCTAGCATAGTTCTCCAATCTTTCCTTGTCATTCTTCTTCTTTTTTTTTTTTCCTGTACTGGGGATGGAACTCAGGATCTTGCGCTTGTGAGGCAGGAGTGGTGCCACTGAGCTAAATCCCTAACCCTTTCTTTGTCATTCATGACCTTGGCATTTTTGAAGAATTATTCTGTAAAGTTGTGCTGACCAACACAACTTTCTAGGATGACTGAAAGTGCTGTCCAGTTCCAGTACGACAGCCATTAGCCAGATGAATTTAACATTTGAAATGTGGCTATTTGGCTCAGGAAGTGACTTTTAAATTTCATTTAATTTCAATTGAAATAACTACATGTGTTTAGTAGCTATTATATTGGCCAGGTGAGCTGGCAAGTAGCTCTTATTTGTCTTCACTTGACTAGCTTTAGGTTATGAGTTTTTGATAAGAATAACTCAGGCATGAATTTGTGCTCTTCTCTGTCTAGATTTTTTTAAAGTTGGTGACAGGAGACAGGGAGCCACCCAGGCCAGGAAACTGGATTGTTTCAATCCCCTTCAAGGTCCAGCAAAGACAGAGGTTACAACTACCTTTGCAAGTTGGTTTCCACATTCCCAATACTCTTCCTGCAAAAATTAGGTATGATGCCCCTGGAGTCAAGGCGAATTGCAGGCGGGATTACTTCTTCAACTAATCAACATTAACCTTCTCTTCCATGAACAAAGTGGAGCTGGCTCTATTATAATTGAGGTGTGATTTAGAACACCTTGTAAATACCAAAGGTTGTGATATATCTACAAGGCCACAAAGTACAGTAATAAGATCTCATGGAAAAGTGTTCTAACCTCCATCTCCCAATGATTCAGTTTGGAAACACTGGTTTCGGAGCCAGGTCTGTGATCTTGGGGCCAAATCTTTTACCCTCTGTCTTTTTAAAAATTGCAATAAAGTGTGACAACTTTACGTGTATCATTGATGCATTTTTACATATGGCATGTACCCACCATTCACACTGAGATATAGAACCCTCAGCTGATGTGTCATTCCCTTCTCCCTTCTCCCAGATGACATTCCCAGAGGTAACCAGTAATGGGATTTCTATTTGCATACATTAGTTTTACTCAATGTTGTTAAGACTTATATAACCAGAAGCAGACAACATGTACTCTCTCCTGTTTGGCTCCATTAGATGAACACCATCAAGCACCATTAATCTTTCCGTGAAGCCCATTCACCCATGTGGACAGCCATCCATGACATATGTTGTATCAAGAATTTGTTCTTCTTGGTGCTGTATATAATTCCATTTTGTGAGTACACCAATTTGTCTCTTCATTCATCCTCCTGATGAACATCTGGACTGCTTCCAGAGTTTGCCTATTATGAATAAAATCACAAACATTATCTAGTGTGTATACTTCTGGGTAGATGTATATTCACCAGTGAAATTGCTGGGTCATAGGGTTTGTATGTTTATTTTGGTAAGAACTGTTCAACAGTTTCCCCAACTCTCTTTAAAACAGGAAGACTAAACCTAACGTACCTGGTTATTGTGAGAATATTTCACGTACCCTTAGGTGTAAGGCTTTAAATCCTATACCTGGAACACAATGGCCGTTCAGTAACCGTTGGCCTATGCCCCAGGAAGTGTTCTCTGTCCAAGAAGAGGAAAGACTGGTGGATGGTAAGCACTACAGAGGCACCTGCCCCAGGCTCTTAGGAAGAAAAGGCCTCTTCCACACAGCACTCACTGCACCCAGCTGTGTTAACTTCGGTGTCCTCCGACCTCTCCTTCTCCCCCAGGCATCGCCAGGCTAGGCACTCATGCCCCTGTGACCTTTGAGGCCACCGACGTCTACTGAGTACTATGTGCCTGGCTCTGGGGACTCAGGAGCAAACGACAAGAAGACCCTCTCGCTCTGAGCACCTGGCTGGAAGTAGGGGTTGTTTCCCTTGGGAAGCGTAGGAATGGAATTCCAAGCCCGTTGATGACTCCGAGGAGGGCAGCCCTATCGGTTGCTGGCTGGACTTGGCGCTGGCAGCGGCTGCAAACAAATAAGGAAGAAAATAATCTACTTCACGCCGAGCCGCCCATTTGGGCGCTTCCAGGCCCGCCCAGCAGGGCCAGGTACCCGCCCCCGCCTCACACCCAATCACGCGGGCCCTCGCAGCCCCGCCCGGCCCGCCTGCCAATCGCTGCGAGGGCCCGGCCTCGCCCCGCCGCTCGTCCTGGGAGCTTTCGGCGTCGATCACTGTGGTCCTCTGGTCACCGGGTCGTGGTTGCCACAGGTAAGGTGGCTGTCCCGGCCCTCGGTCCCCTGGGCTCTGAATGCACGGACGCCTTTCGCGGAGGTGGGTTGAAGCGCCCGGAGCCCCGGGAGACTCAGAGTTGGCCGGGGCGCTTAGGGGGTGGGACGCACTGCGGGCCTGGAGGGAGACAGGGCGCACGGGACTCTGAGGTTGGGGAAACTGAGGGCTCTGTCCATCGCGTCCAGCGTCCGAAAAGACAGGGTATGTGGCTCACGACGCTTGCTAGGGGTCGGAGGAAAGGTTGGGCCGGAAGGAGGCGGATTGAGCTCCTTCAGTCGTCTTCGGGCCCGAGGTGACACTCACTCGAGGCGGAGCCGGGTGAACCAACCCTTGGCGGCTGTGCTTGGGAGTCAGGGCCTCTTCCTGCCCCCGGGTAGTGACCGTTCTCCGAGGTGACACCTGCTCAGAACAGCCTCCCTTTGCCCTGCGGGCCTGGGTCCCGCCCAGGAACCCGATCTGAGGCTGCGAGGCCTGGCCCCCGGGAGGGTGGCTGTTTCTTTCCGCGACGTGCTCGGCGGGTGTCAGGTCGGAAACTTGGCCGCTTCAGAACTATACCACCTCCCTTTTGGTGAGATGGGAAGGAGGTGCCAGGGAACGGATGGAAATGAAACAAAGCAAGAACAACTTTCTTTGTATGGATGCTCTAAAACTTGTAAAACATCTTGGAGGACATTCAAGCGACCAGGGAACCGAGGCTAACGTTAGTGGACGCGGGTTAATGCCCTCAGCACTGTCCAGGACGATCTGCATTTCTGCCGAGAAGAGACTAAATTTTGCATCCTCCTGGGTCCACCCTCACCTTCCATCCCCATCCCCAAGGTGACCTTGGGCCCTCCCTGGACTTGAATACAGAGGGCTGTGTAGCTCTCACTTGCTGCAGGGGCCTCTATGGCCTACAAGGTGTATGCCCAGCTTCAAGGAGGCAGCAAATCTTGGGTCCTGCATGGACCCTGACCAGGTGTGTAACTTAGTATCACTCCCCCTCTTCTGAGGCTGTTTCAAAGGTTAAGTGAAAGAATCATAGGGTGAGCCCTCAGTAGAAGTGAACCAATGTGGGCTTCCTTTCCTTTTGGTGGGGCCACATGACACCCCCACCCCACCCCGTTATCTGTGCCTTGAGGGCTGAGGCTGGGCTGCAGCAGACAACCTCACCTGACTTCCTTTTGCTACCTTTCAAAGTGCAGCGGGAAGAGGAGAAGGTCTTCATAAACCTCCACAGAGTTCTTTGTTCATCTCCTGAAGACTTGGAAGACCCCCACCTCCCTGAACTACTGACTTCTTGTCCTACTGCCTGTCCTACCAGGAATGTGGGTCCTGGTGGTTGACAAAACAAGTCATGCAACACGGGAGTGTGACACCACCAGACAGGACTGCTGCCCCTCCCATGGGACGAGGGCCTATGCCTCCAAAGCAGCCATAGACACTTTTTACTCAGTAGCACTGTCCCCCAGAGGTCTCATGCATGCTGACACCCACTTGGTCCCCTCTTCTCTGTCTGTCTTCTTTCCTACCCTACAGTACTCTTGGAATCCAACAGCATCTTAAGCTTATTTAAAAATGAGCTCCTGGGTTCCCTTTTCACCATACTCCTCTCCTGCTTCCATGACTGGTAAATGGCATCTTTCTCTTACCCAGGGGCCAGGGCTCTTCCCTCTCCCTTACCTTGCACATCTACCAAACACCAGGAATCACTACCCAGTCTCCATGGCTATCTGACCAGACTCCTCGTGTCTCCCCTGCTGTGGCCTCCTTACTTGTCTCTCTCCTCCCCACCCTTGCCCCTTCATAGTCCTCACAGCTGCTGGGGAGATTGTTAGGTCTCAGATCCTCTCTATTCCCTCAGTGGCACCCTGTTTTACTCCTAATAAAACCCATATGGGGCCGGGGATTTAGCTCAGTGGCACCATGCCTGCCTGGCAAGCGCAAGGTCTTGAGTTTGATTCCCAGTACTGGAAAAAACCAAAACCATACCCATTGTCCTTCCCCACAGCACTCTATAGGAGTGGCCCCTGGCCACCGTCTTGACCTTGACTGCTGGCTTTTTAAACTTCAACAATACTGGCCTGCTTTCTATTGTGAAAGCATGTTGAGCTCTTTCTGTCTTAGGACTTTGGCATCTTCTGTGGCCTCTCTGCCCAAAACACCAATCTTCTCAGAGCTAAAAATGTCCCAGCTCAAATGTCACCAGTTGAGAGGGGCTGCCTTGACCACCCAGTTAGAGCAGTATGCCCTTCTCTAGAGGTCTGTCTCATTGCACTGCTTTATTTTTGTTATAACCTGTGTTACTTCGTGGAATTCTTATTTAGGTCTGCGTTTACTGCTCCATCCCATCCCATAGACTATAAATGAGCATAGACCTTTCCATCTTATTCCCTGTAGCACTCCCTGGTGGTAGGCAAATGAGAAACAAACAAACACATCTATAATTGCAAAATGTGGTAAGTGCTATATAAATATGCTTATGCTTGTTTGTATTTGAGACACTTGTTTAAATGTTTTTCTTTTTCGTTTTTTTTTTTTTTTTGGTACTGGGAATTGAACTCAGGACCTTGCACTTGCAAGGCAGGTGTGGTGCCGCTGAGCTAAATCCCCAGCACCATTTGATTAAATTTTTGTGTCTGAACTACTATATTGTCAAAATAAGCCATTTTAATGAAAATCCTGGAAAAGGCTGGTAACTGGCCGTGGGAAACCCCATTAGTTCCCTTAGCATAAGAACGTATACGTAGTGGGTTTTAATGGTGGGTTGCTGTCACATTTCTGATCCCAAAGAACTCAGTCCTTTGCTCTTCCAGTTGCTAGCAAGCCTCTTAATTTCTTGGTACCTCACCTTCATCTTTAGAGCAGGATGATCCTATTATTATCACAGTGGGGTGCTTTTTCCTTTCAGTATACCCAAAGGGAGCAGCATTTGTAGGCAGCCTGCTTGACATCTTGACATTCTGCCTTAGGGGCAGGAGGGGAACCCATGCTTTCATGGGCACAGCAGCTCAGGGTACATGTAGACCCTCACCCCGCAGGTGTGAGGGACACACAGACCTTTCCCAACAGTGACCAACCTGCATAGAGAAATGGACCCTAGATCTTCTGCATCTAATTCTTTCTGGTCATCAGTTCATTTTTAAGCAAATTCTTTGAAAGCCTCTGACAGTAACAGTATAGGATATTTAAAGAAATTAAAGATTACAGAAAAAAAGCAAAAATTCCAAAAAGTTGAGAAAGAATTGTTTTTCATGTGGTGCTACTCCCAACCTTGTTGCCATGTGTGATCTCTTTTCTTCCAGTCTTTCTACCTCTCTCTCAGTCCATTTACCTTACACAGAGTGAGTCCTCTCTTCAGAAGCTGAGCAGCCATGACCTGCGCTGAGGAAAAGACTTATAAGTTTATCTGCCGCCATCATAGTAATTTTTGCCATGTTGATGTTCTGGAGATTCTTCCTTACCTGCCCTGCCTGACACCCAGTGACCAGGTGAGCCAGGGAAGTGACAGCTGTCACTGGTCTGGGATCAAGCCTGTGGAATTCCAAGCTCAGCTCTAACCAGTTCTTTACCCAAGCTAGGAGCAACTCCTTCCTCTCCTTCATCCTGTGTCTTGCTTTTTGTCCTTGCTGCTTGTCTACCTTTTAGATCAAGTGTGGTTTGGGGTGTTTTTTTCTAGCCTCACTGACTCCCTCTTGTGTTGTTTTTATGTAGTGCTCAAAAATACGGTGATAGCATCCTGAGAGTTATGGGCTCTGATTCTTTTACTTCCCCTTAGTTCCAAGAAACTTCTCTTTTCTTCATCTCTCTTGTCCTGGTTCTGCTCAGTTTTGATTACATTTGTCATGGGACCCTGTCCTGGCAGGGAGCCTTGGGAGAAGTTCTTGACCTCGAGAACTCATATGTGCCAGATTGCTCTTGCCCCAGCGTAACTTGCTGCCAGCCTCTTGGGGAAGTAAAGTGCCAAAGTCCCTCCCACTTTTAGCTGCTCTCAGCCCATGGGACACCTGTGTGCCAGCAGGTGCCTGTGGGCTCCTTGACGGACCCAAAAGAGCCCTGTCCTCAGGTGTCTCAGGAGTGCTTTGCTTCCAGTGTGTGTTCCCTCATAGTTACCATTAGAGTGCAGTCTGGCACCTACAGGCTTTGGGTTGGGGGGAGGCTGCAGGGTTACCTTGTCATGTAGTTTATAGTGAACACTATCTGTGGGTTTTCATTCCTGCTGTTTGGTTGTCTTTGTGTGCATGTGCGTGTGCACATGTGTGTGTGGTGTGGTATGCTGAGATCCAGCCCAGGGCCTTGCACCTACTAGACAGGCATTCTGCCATGGAGCTACACCTCCAGCCCTGGTTGCTTGTTTTCATGTGAGAATCCAGGTCAGTATAAAAACTGCAGCTGCTACCATCTTCCCAGACTCTCCCTCAGTCCTCTCAGCCCCCTCATTTCTCCATCTTGGCTGCCTTTTTTTCTTTGCTCCCTTTCCTGTGTTGGTTGTTTCCTTTCCTTTCTTTCTTTTTTTTTTTCTGGTACCAGTGATGGAACTCAGGACCTTGTGCTTTCCAGGCAGGTGCGGCATTACTGAGCTAAATCCCTGGCTCTGTCACACACTGTTTCCTTCTCTGCTCATCCAAACCTTTTTCTGTGCTTTGGGGGCTGTCTAAACTCAAGGCTTTTCTTGGACTAACTGGGCTGGAGTTCCTGCCCCACTGCTATAAAATCTCTGCTACTTTGCTTCTGCTAAGCCTCAGTTTCCTCATCAGTAAAGTGGTGATAGCACAACATTAAATGAAGTGATTCCTGCAAAGCTGTAGTAGATAGCACAGGATACAGTCACAGCTATTGTTTGGTAGTGCTTTGGTTGTTGCTCATTGCTCTTCCTCAGTCCATGCTTGGTCTCTAACCCTAGCCTCATCCTGGCCCCTGATCTGGTTTCAGGTAGCTGTCTTTCTCTTGCAGCTTTCTTGGTGGCCCTTGGCAGTGGCCCTGTCCTGGGTGGGGAAGGGGCTGGAGCTGAGGCTACCAGGCTTGAGCAGGGTGGCTATGCTGTCTTCCAGGATCGACTGCGTGCCTCCTACACACGCCTGGGGAACAGAGACACACTGTGGGACCTCTTCAACACCCTCCAGCGGCGGACAGGCTGGGTGGAGTACCTCGTTGGGGCGCTGAGGACCTGTGAGCTGAGTGGGCTCGCTGATCAAGTGAATCGTGTGTACCAGAGCTCCCAGCCTGGTGGTGAGCTCCCTGCCCTGCCTCCTGGACCCATGTATGCTTCCCAGCTCTCCTCTCCCACTCCCCTCCCTTGTTCCTCCTCCTCTTCTCATTCATCCCCCCTTTTCATAGCTCCCAGTAGTGGACACAGTGGGGTGCATGTCCCAGGTGAGCCCCTTATTAGCTGTGTCCCTTTGGCCAAGTCCTTTAATTTCCAGGAGCTCCAGTCTCCTCTGTAAACCAGAGCACTGTATGTTCCTTGGAGCTGTGGTGGACAGACACCATGGGTGGCACCTGCTCTGTGAGCACACGGAACTTCCTCTCATTTTTGTGGCTATGGTCTTTGCTACCCACTTTTCCTCATTTCTGCTCCTGTTCCCTCTCCTCCCACCCATTTATTCACTCTCCCTCTCTCCCCTTTCTTCCCTTCCTCTTAGTTTCCCTGAGAACATTCTGATCTCCCCCTTTTCTCAAGGAGCCTGGTTGTTCCTTACTTCTCTTATTCAGTACCCCCATCAGCTCCAATGTCCAGAGCGGATTTGATGGGATGGGGTCTGAGGAAGGGACACAGGAAGAAAAATCAAGCCTATTTATTTATTTATTGGTACTGGGGATTGAACTCAGGACCTTGAGCTTGTGAGGCAGGCGGCAGCACTGCTAAGCTAAATCCCCCACTGGAGCCCTATTTATAGTTCAGACTGGAGGCAACCCCAGGGACTGAGGTCAGATCTGCAGCTTTGGAGTGTCCCATGTTTGCTTTTATTTCTGTTTTTACTGTTCCCTTCTTTCCTTACTGGTCCTTTCGTTTGTGGAGATTAACAGTGATCCTTCTCAATACAAACATCTGTGGTAAGGCCAGGGGTGGATGGTAGCTGGGGCCAGTGAGGGGTGACAGCCATGAGGAGGAGAAATCCTGGGAACAGAGAAGGGGTGACTGCTGAAACAGCCCAGGTAGTGTGAGAGGTCTGTGAGCCCCCACTCCTGCCTTCCCCTTTGCCACCTCTCCTGTTCTTCCCAGCTTCTCTCCCTCCCATTGCTGTCCCTTCCCCAGTCATGCTTGTCACAGATGCATCCCACATCAGGTCAGTTTTTGAAGACACGGTGAGAGCTAAGGGTCCCAAAGTGTCCAGGCCTCTCCTATCACTGGAAGCACCCTTGTTTCCTTCTTGATATCACTGTATTTCTGTTCTCCAGGGACTCCATCCCAGGCCCCAGGCCCAGTGAAAGCACTGGAAGTTCCTGCTGAGGTTCCAGCAGCCCATAACTCTGGCACAACCCACAGTGTCCCCCACAATGGCTACCGAGAGGAGCCAAGTTACCCCTGGCCTGTCCAGGACACCCAGCCACCAGAGTCCCCCAGGGAGGTATGTTCTCAGCCTACCTCGGGCCTCCTGCTTTTGTGTACCTATGTGCCAGCTTCTGTCCACCTGCCTTCCAGAAGCCCTCTCTGCCCTCATAAGCCATGCCTAACCTCTGCTAAGAACCCCAGTGCTCCCTCAGTAGAGAGTTGTCCCACCCATTCTAGACTGCTGCAGCAGCCCTAGAACTCTGCCTTCAGGCAGCTAGGAGGCCATATTATCAAGGTCCTTGTAGTTGTCATGTGAGATGTTGAGCTGGGTGGAGGAACCTGGGGAGTGAGCAGGAGGCCATGGGTGGATAGTGGGCCTGTAATTATCATGAGTAAAGTGTGGGGGAAAGATGACCAACTCTGCTGAGATGTGATGAGTGGGCCATGGGGTATCCAGGAGGTGCCAAGCTGTGGACTGGAAACCATGGGGTCTGGGCAGAAACCCCTGAGGAAAGGGCTCTGTGCAGTGGCCACAGAGAAAGACCTACTCATAGGGCCAGAGAGGCTAGAGGCCCTAATGGGATGTGGTTTGTTTTTTAAAGTGCTAGGGGTGGAACCCAGGACCTTACATACACTAGGCAAGTGCTCTGCCACTGAGCTACAACCCCCAGTGACCTGGCCTGTGTTTCCTGTGTACAGAGGGTCGGGCAGAGACCAGAAACAGGGCTCCAGAGTGTGGCCTGTAGGAGATGCCCCGTGAATATGAGCTGACCTTTGGCAGTTTGTCGGGGCAGCAGCTGTTTCTTTCACACTTTCCTTCTTGCAGAGTTCAGAGCAGGTCCCACAGACAACCAGTTTGGGGGCCATCCCAAGGAGGCCCAGTGGATCCTTGGAGCCCTCCTCTGACCTGCCAGCCCTCAGTCCTCTGACCCCCAGCAGGCATCAGGAGCAGAACCCAAAACTGGGCAGCACACAGGGGACAGGTATGCATGGAATGTGGCATTATAGGGCCTCTCTGACCTTTCAGGTGAGCACCTGGATCAGAGTTCCCCCTAGCGGTTCTTTGGGGAGGAGGCAAGATGGAAATAAAGGGTGTTACCTCAGGGAGCAATCAGTTCCTCAGTGGGTATACCAGTTAGTTAGCATTTACTGTATAATAAACAGTCCAAAAATATTTTTAATAGCGTAAAATACAACCATTATGTAGTACATGGCTGACCCAGCTGGGCATTTCTGGTCTTCACTGAGTTTTCTTACATGCACTCACTGGTGTATGCCTATGCTCTGCTTCTGCCTGTCGGCTGGAGCACCTTTGTTTGCTTCTATGTAGTCCCCCTCCCATTCCTTTTCTTTTGTTTTCTTTTCTTTTCCTTTCTTTCCTTTCCTTCCTTCCTTCCTTCCTTGTTTTTGTTTTTGTGGTACCAGAGATTGAACCCAGGGAGCACTGAGCTACATCCTAGCCTTTAAAAATTTTTATTTTGAGACAAAATTTCCTAAATTGCCCAGGCTGCCCTTGGATATATAATACTTTTGCCTCAGCCTCCTCAGTAGCTGGCATTACACACATGTGCCACCATGCCCAGTGGGTCTCTCATTCTTTAGCCTATGTCATGGCAGCTGGGCAGAGCTCTGAGTCAAAGAGAGAGAGACTGAGAGAAAAACTGATCCTGAGGCATTGGTTCAAAACTGGCAATGTCCCTCCTGTGCTGTTCTGAGGGCCAAAACAAGTTATAAAGCCAGCCTAGCTGGGTGTGGTGGTGCACGCCTATAATCACAGAACTTGGGAGGCTGAAGCAGGAGGCTTGCCATGAGTTCAAGGCCAGTTTAGATTATATAATGAGTTCAAGGCCAGCCTGAATTACGTAGTGAGACACTGTCTCAGAAAACAAGACAAATTTTAGACAATACTCTAGGAAAAGGCAATGAGGATCACAACCCCAGGAAACCCAGCAGAATGAATCCATTGGGTGTGACAAATTAAACGCAAAGGGGGAGAATCCAACAAAAAGAAAAAGTCATGACAAGGCTTTTAAAACTTTTAACTTCGTCTCCCTAATGATAATATAATTCAATCTTGTTATTGTACTGATTCTAGAGTTGCACACCTTTCCTTGTGCTGTACTGGCTATTTATCATCTTCTTATGTCTACTTTTTAATTAGGTTGTCTATTAATGAGCTGTAAGAGTTCTTTATTCTGGTCATAGGTTATATGCATTGTAAATATGGTCTGTTTAAGGACTACTTTTCATTTTAATGATGTCACTTAAAGTTCTAAATTTTGATGGAATCTCATTTATCAATTTTTTTCTTTTATACGTCATGTCTTTTGTATCCTAGGTAGTTCTTGCCTACCCTGAATTCATAAACATTTTCCCTTATGATTTCTTCTTAAAGTTTTATACTTTTAGGCTTTC